TTTTTTGGGCCTGTCTTGTAGCAGGAGGTTTCTGGGTACACGTCTAGCTCTGTGGATTTGTTTCTTTAAAATGTTAACCACATTGTGAATTATTAACTAAATTTGTACAGGTTAAGCTAGCCAAGCATCATAAGGACTCTGTCATGTTCATTATTTTTAACTATAGAGAAAATCTTAATTTCACACTATTTTTATTTGATATGAGAGAATTTTAGAAAATCCATCCTTTCATAGTTGTGAGAGTATTACTTTAGAGTTTTCGTGTATTGTGGTGGATACAAGCAGCTCTTGTTTTCTTTAAGTGGGGTGATTATAACTGCTTAGTTTTTGTTGTCATTGTTTTTATTATAGTCATTATCATAATGCTAAGGAGCCCCAGTCATGCACCAGGGAGTGTATTTAGTCAGAGATAAGAGAGTTTTAAATTCCTCTTTTTAAGTTTCCTTAAGTAAATTGAACACTTCACAGTTGTTCTACAATTCCCATTCCAACTCCCCCAAAAAGATGATTCAGAGTGCAAATTAAATGTGATTTGTTCATCTTTGAGAAGCTTCAACTCTAATCCTGCTGACCACTTTCCTTAATTTGCATTTAATGGCAAGGATACCGTTCCCTTTAGTTTTTCCTAGGGTTACAGATGTTTTCAGTCTCCTGACATGTTTTTAATAGACATTTTTATGTAGCTCTGAAATCTTCAAGAGTGGCTCAGGGAAAATATAGAGTGAGCTTGTTTGTTATGAACGAGGGGGGAAGGAGACTATTCTACCTGCAGTGGGGTATTATGATGTGACATGGTGTCTGTCAGAGATAAACTGTTATTTTTCCTGAACATAATTATGTCTTATGCATGAAGCATAAGTACAGTAAGCAGAGCAGGAAGAAAAATAATTAATTGTTAGATGATGCAATACTGTAGGCCTGCGTCTGCCTCTTTAATGCTAACACCCGAGTGACTTTTTGGCCACAAACTATAGAATATAAAAACTGGTGGGGGATCATAAAGATTTTTTTTTAAAATAGGTATTCTTTTTCCTCCCAGCACCTTGGCCTCCTTCCACCAGGAGCCATGCTATTACTGTCTTCTACTGGATCATGGCTTCCTCGCTCTCTCTCTCTGCTCTCAGTATCCATTTCTCTGCTTTCCTTCTCTCCAGCTCTGACTGCAGGGAGCCAGGAACCTGATCCAAATTACATTGAATTCAATTGGAGTTGAATCAGGCCTTAGGGGAGGAAGTAGAAACAGGACCTGAAGCAGAGACATTGGATCAGCCTTGAATTTGGCTCATTGGTGCATGTGTGTGTGGTTGTCCTTGTTTAAGAGAAGATGAATAGAGGCAGCAACTGCCTGGGCTTACAAAGGGAACTGGGGCAATAGCTGAGGGGAGACTTGGGTAAAGTGTGGAAACATGCATACATTTATGTGAAAACGTCGCAGAATAAATGGAGGAAGCACCGTGGATAGAGAGGAGTGGAAGAGTTAAGTGAGCAGGCTCTGGGGAATGGGGAAGCTGATATTAAAAAAAAGAAAACAGTTGAAAGAATGAGAAACTCAGAGGAAAAGCTTACTAGAAAAGAAAGATGTAGAGAGGGCATGGAGGAGAGAATAGCTGAATGAAGATGAGGCAGTAGGGAGAAAACACAATTCAGAAATAAAGGTTAGTGAGTGAAAAGAAACAAGATCAACTACTAATATTGCAGTAAAATTATAGTGAATGGGGAAAGCCAAACAAGCAAAACCCAGAAAGACAGAGGAAAAGATTCACCAATGTACCTTAGAAAGAAAAAGTTGGATGAATAAAAGTAGAAAGGGGGGAAAAATGAATAAGTTTATTTTATTAAATTTATAGGAAGTCTAATACCAAATTATATTTGATTGTGTTTTTTTTTCATATACCTGTGATTCTGGCTAACTGAGGGGAGGCTGATTTTGTGGGCTACTCAGAAAATATTAACCAGGCTACTTGCACTCTCCAGTCCTGCTCCAGGGTGGATAAAAATCAATTGTTTTGTTTTTTGGGGGGGACATTGATTTTTTAAAATTTAAATTAAATATTGGTTTATTTAAAAAAACAATTTAAAATTAAATTTGAAATTGATAACATATGTTAAGGCCTAAACATATAATAATGTGTTAAAATCATGTAAATTAAACACAAAAATTGTATTAAGCAATATATGTTTGCTTCTAACGTTTTAAAGAAAAATCAGACCACAGAGCTTGAGGAAGTCAATGGTTAAGTTCCTGGACCCCAGAGTTTGTTTAAGTCCTAAACCAGTCTCTTCTGCAGGTCCAGAGAGAATATTTTCTTCATTACAATTTATTGAACTATGTCAGTTCAATGACTAGTTCATTCAAAGTTAAGAAACCAGTTGGCAGCTGAAAAAGCAGGAAAGTAAACTAGTTGTGAGAGGAAGAGATCTATTAATTCTAAAATCTTGAAGGACGTGATGACTAGGAACAATAAGTTCAATTCACTACCTTAAAATAATGCTTCCTTTGCTTAAAAAATCAGTTACTTTTAATGCAAAACATGTTTTGATAAACTTTTTGATTTTTTTTTGTCTTATGTATCCAGCACATTTAAGGTAGTTTTATTTAATTTAAATAAAATAAATAAATGCTAATTTTGTGCATTTTTAATTGCATTTTAATTTCCATCTAAATAGAGCTTGACATAAATCACAGTTAAAAAGTTCATCTAGTAAATTAGAAATGCATCATTTACCGTTTTCTAACATAAGAATGGTAAAAATTAAGAATCTCAATAAATGTAAATTAAGCTATGCTACTGTTTAAACAAATGTATCTAGATAGAGTGTATCTTCCTGCTTAGTAAAAAATAGTACTATGTTTAGTATAAAGACTCAATTTAGTTGTAAATCAACATGTTTTAGTGGTTATCAATGAAAATAAATCTTTCTTTAAGAAAATAAATAAAACATGAAAATAGAAAAGATGATTAAAATTGATTATTTAAACAACTGCTCACTGATTTAAATCATGATTAAAATTGGTGATTTAAACAACTTTGATTTTAATCAGTCTACCCTGTACTGCTCTGCTTCCTCCAAACCCTTAAAGGAAAAATAGTTAATAAAAGTTGTTTTTTGTATGTCTGTGGGCTTCTTTAGGTAAAATTAATGGCATCCTTTGAATATATCACGCTTTTGTGCCTGGTTACTTTACAGGAACTGAGACCAAAAAAAACCCCCAAACCCCTCCTTAAATTAAATAAAGTGCAAGCATACACATTGTAGTTGTTTTACAATTCTTAAATATACTACGGTGTACCACAGTCTAGGTTTGCTTGCTGAAATTTCTTTTCCCAGCAGATCAGAAAGCCCACACACTCATACATTATACATATGCCTAAAAAGATGTTTGCAACATTCTCCTCATCCTCCGCCCTAGCTGTAGTTTATTCTCTCTTTAAAACAGGATAATTCTACCCAATCTATGTTTTTTCTTAGTTTGCTTTTAATGCTTATAATAAAAAAGTAGTTTTGTCTAGCATTCTTGTTTTTAATTTCACATAGATTACTTGTGCTTGTCATAGAATCAGAGAATCGTTAGGACTGGAAGGGACCTTGAGAGGTCTTCTAGTTCAGTCCCCTGCACTCAAGGCAGCACTAAGGATTATCTACCATCCATGACAGGTGTTTGTCTAACTTGCTCTTAAAAATCTCCAATGACAGACATTCCACAACCTTTTTAGGGAATTTATTCTAGTACTTAACTACCCTGAGATTTAGGAAGTTTTTCGTAATGGCCAACCTAAACCGCCCTTGCTGCTATTTACGCCCATTACTTCTTGTCCTTTCCTCAGAGGTTAACGAGAATAATTTTTCTCTCTCTCCTTGTAACAACTTCTAATGTACTTGAAAACTATTATGTCCCCTCTCAGTCTTCTCTTCTCCAGACTAAACAAACCCATTTTTTTTTCAGACTTCCCTCATAGGTCATGCTTTCTAGACCTTTAATCATTTTTGTTGCTCTTCTCTGGACTTTCTCCAATTTGTCTTTCTTGAAATGTGGTGCCCAGAATTGGACACAATATTCCAGTTGAGGCTTAATCAGCACCGAGTAACATGGAAGAGTGTTTACGACACTCCTGCTAATGCATCCCAGAATTATGTTTGCACCCACCTTAGAGTAGCTCCATCTAGGTTCTATTTCCCTAGTTTGTTTATGAGAAGGTCATGCAAGACGGTATCAAAAGCCTTACTAAAGTCAAAGTATACTACATCTACTGCTACCCCACTTCCACAAGGCTTGTTACCTTGTCAAAGAAAGCTATTAGGTTGGTTTGACACAATTTGTTTTTCACAAATCCATGCTGACTGTTACTTATCACCTTATTATCTTGTAGGTGTTTGCAAATTGCTTAATTATTGTCATTATGTTTTGTATTGTACTGGTAGATTTGTATATTTATAATATTTATATAATTTGAGTACAGCATTTTATGATTCATAGTATTCTTTTATTCTGGATGTAGCCTCTGGGGGGAGAGTTACATAGAGCCAATATAGTGTTTTTTCTGTGTAATAGATGAACTGTCCTATTCAATGGGTGAACTCTTTTGACGTCCCACAAATGGCAACATATTTCAGACATAATTCTTTTATGAAAAGAATGATAGAGTGGCAGGTCATGCCATAATTTATATGGCATTATCTAGCCATCTGCTCTGTAAGGCTATGATCCTGTTATATACGGAGTACTCTCAACTGCCGGTGAAGTCATTTATTTGTCGTCTATACACCATCTGTGCACCAGTTTTGCTAATTCAGTTTAAAAATCACATCTTTAATTAAACTGCTACAACTTTGTATTATTTTTTTAGTACATACTGATATTTGAGTTTGTATAACATTAAATAGACATTACATGAATCACTGTAAAGTTAGTCCAATAAATTCATAAACATAGCTTATTTTGTAGGGCATAAATCTTCCATCTTCAGACAGTTTTAACTTTTCCTTTCCTTTCAACTAAGGAAATGCTACTTCACCGCAAGTACAAAGACCTTCTTTCATGGACTACTTTGATAAACAAGATTCCAAGAATAAAAGCCATGAAAACTGTAATCAGAATATGCCTGAACCCTACCACATATCCAAATATCCTGATAACTGGAAAGTCCCTCAAGATGGAGATTTTGATTTTGTAAGTACATTTACAGTGTTACTTTTCTAATGTTTACTTCCTTGCATACTGTTTATTTTATGTATGCTAAAATGAATTAATCCTTTCTATAGCTTTCTAGTAGTGCAAACAAAATAAGTCATCTTTCAAGGATTCCTTCCAAATATTTAATAGTAAAGTCATTTTCTAACTGTTATACTAACACATTTGTCTAACACAGAACATGACTTCTAAAAGAGAGTGGTAGGTTGGAGGGAAAACATTAAAAAAAATTCCTTTCAGTAAATGTATTCTTGGCGCTTTTCTATTTTGTATCATAGTTTATTTTTATCAAACTGGTTGTGTGACCTAGTTTATTAAAGCCTTCAAATATATGAGAATACTGTAAGTGGGGTTTTTTTTTTTTGAGTTAGTATCTCAAGAGAGACATGTAGAAAGAATTTTAAACTAGGCAGAGCAATTTACATATGTCCTAAGTAGATTGAATAAGATCACTTAATGTGTCCTTTGAGCCTTTTGGTACAACTTGTATTACAATTCCTGTGATTTCTGGAACAAACTATTACATCTTTAGAAATAATACACTGATCTGTTTGCTCTCTGTTACACTAGCTTGAATGTCTTTTTCTTCAAAATGTGGGTTGTTGTTTTTTTAAGATAACAATGAAAAATATGATGAGCCAAAAAGAACTGTTCCTAAGCAGCCAGTAAACCTATATAGTTTTAAAATGTTCTTTTATCAAAATGAAATAAATAAACTGATAAGACTGATTTGGACATGTGATGTATAGCTATAACAGCTTTCTCCCACTCCTCCCCCCACTCTTTTATATTTTCTAACCTTTCTAAACAAAGGAATTTAACATACCTATTGTAGCTTTAACATGTTCTTTCCTTCACTACACTGTAGTAGCTAAATTTGGTCACAAGATACCTTCAGAAAGAGAAAAACAGCTGTAGGTGTAGGATTTTTTTCTCAGTTTTTACTTACTGTCTTTCTAAATAAAGTTGACTCTTAAATTTCAGCTACTATGATATGGCAAGTGAAACAGCACAGTATAAACTGTTGCTGTAGGAGAATAAAGCTTTTGAATAAGTACACTTTTTTTTTTCTAGACTACAAAGATACAATAGCCAGCATCTTCATAATCAGCCAGTGAAATAACTAGTGCATTATTCATTGGAAAATAACTATCTGTATCTAAATGTGGTTTATTATGGTGGTAATAAATTTTCTGTAGAACTGTTGTAAAAACTGTTTTGCTTTTATAGATGGGCTGATAATTACAAACACAGTGAATACATTTGTAAATTCTAAGGTCCTGATCCTGTGCTCATTTATCCACATGTAAATTTACACACACAAATCATAGACTCATAGAAGATCAGGTTTGGAAGACCTCAGGAGGTCATCTAGTCCAAATCCCTGCTCAAAGCAGGACCAACCCCAACTAAATCATCCCAGCCAGGGCTTTGTCAAGCCGGGCCTGTAACCGTACGGGACTCACCCCTGCGGCGCCTCCTTCTGGTACCTTCTGGGAATTAGCTCTCCAGCCATCGGAGCGCCCTATGCAGGCCGGTGTCCTGCTTTTCCTGGCCCCCAAGTCCCTCCTGGACCCCTTGCATGCCGGGGTGCTGCCCCCGGGCAGTACACCCCTCAGTCTCTGGGTCTCCCCTCCCCAGGGAACCCCCACCCACTATCCCCACCTCGCCTCAGTCTTTGGCTACTGCCCAGTCTCCATCTAGCCCCCGTTCACTGGGGCAGACTGCAGTATAAATGCCACTCATCGTAGGCAAGGGGGTTTGGACCTGCTGCCTCTGCCTACCTCTTTTGGGCTGACCCCTGCAACCCCAGTACCTATTTGGCCTTCCACTAGGCCACAGCCTGGGGGTTTCCAGGCCGGAGCTCCCCAGCTCCCTGGGCCTTCCCCCAGCCCTGCTCCACCTCAAGTACCTTGGTACACTCCCAGCAGCCAGGTCCCTCCGTCTCACCAGGCTAGAGAGAGAGTCTGTCTGTGCTCCTGGCCTACTGCCCTCTTATAAGGGCCAGCTGAGCCCTACTTGGGGCGTGGCCACAGCTGAGCTTACTTCCCCACTCAGCCTGGGAACTGCTTTTCCCAGCCACCGCCCTCTCCTGGGCTGTTTTAAGCCCTTTACGGCTGGAGCGGGTGACCACCCCGCTGCAGGGCCTTCAAAACCTCTAAGGATGGAAATTCCACCACTTCCCTAGGTAACCCATTCCAGTGCTTCACCACCCTCCTAGTGAAATAGTTTTTCCTAATATCCAACCTAGACCTCCCTCACTGCAACTTGAGACCATTAGTCCTTGTTCTGTCATCTGCCACCACTGAAAACAGCCTAGCTCCATCCTCTTTGGAAACCCCCTTCAGGTAGTTGAAGGCTGCCATCAAATCCCCCCCCTTACTCTTCTCTTCTGCAGACTAAACAAGCCCAGTTCCTTCAGCTTCTCCTCATAAGTCATGTGCTCCAGCCCACTAATCATTTTCGTTGCCCTCCGCTGGACTCTCTCCTATTTGTCCACATCCTTTCTGTAGTGGGGGGCCCAAAAACTGGATGTAATACTCCAAATGTAGCCTCACCAGCGCCAAATAGAGGGGAATAATCACTTCCCTCGATCTGCTGGCAATGCTCCTACTAATGAAGCCCAATATGCCGTTAGCCTTCTTGGCAACAAGGGCACACTGTTGACTCATATCCAGCTTCTCATCCACTGTAATCCCCAGGTCCTTTTCTGCAGGACTGCCGTTTGGCAGTTGGTCTCCAGCCTGTAGCAGTGCATGGGATTCTTCTGTCCTAAGTGCAGAACTCTGTACATGCCCTTGTTGAACCTCATCAGATTTCTTTTGGTCCAATCCTCCAATTTGTCTAGGTTACTCTGGAGCCTATCCCTACCCTCCAGCGTATCTACCTCTCCCCCGAGCTTAATGTCATCAGCGAACTTACTGAGGGTGCAATCCATCCCATCATCCAGATCATTAGTGAAGATGTTGAACAAAACCAGCCCCAGGACAGACCCCTGGGGCACTCCACTTGATACTGGCTGCCAACTAGACATCGAGCAGTTGATCACTACCCGTTGAGCCCAATGATCTAGCCAGCTTTCTATCCATCTTCTAGTCCATTCATCCAATCCATACTTTTTTAACTTGCTTGCAAGAATACTGTGGGAGACCATATCAAAAGCTTTGCTAAAGTCAAGATACATCACGTCCACTTGCTTTACCAGTATCCACAGAGACAGTTATTTCATCATAGAAGGCAATCAGGTTGGTTAGGCATGACTTGCCCTTTGTGAATCTATGTTGACTGTTCCTGATCACCTTCCTCTTCTCCCAAGTGCTTCAAAATGGATTCCTTGAGGACTTGCTCCATGATTTTTCCAGGGACTGAGGTGAGGATGACTGGTCTGTAGTTCCCTGGATTCTCCTTCTTCTCTTTTTTTGAAGATGGGCACTATATTTCCCTTTTTCCAATCGTCTGGGACCTCCCCCACTTACCACGAATTTTAAAAGATAATGGCCAATGGCTCTGCAATCACATCAGCCAACTCCCTCAGCACCCTCGGATGCATTAGATCCGGCCCCTGGACCTGTGGATGTCAGCTTTTCTAAATAGGTCTTAACCTTTTCTTTCATTAGTGAGGGCTGCTCACCTCCTCCCCATACTGTGTTGTCTAGTGCAGCAGTCTGGGAGCTGACCTTGTCTGTGAAGACCAAGGCAAAAAAAACATTGAGTACTTCAGCTTTTTCCACATCATCTGTCACTAGGTTGCCTCCCCCATTCAGTAAAGGTCTCACGCTTTCCCTGACCACCTTCTTCTTGCTAACATACCTGTAGAAATCCTTCTTGTTACCCTTCATATCCCTTGCTAGCTGCAACTCTAATTGTGCTTTGGCCTTCCTGATTACACCCCTGAATGCTCGAGCAATATTTTTATACTCCTCCCTAGTCATCTGTTCAAGTTTCCACATCTTGTAAGCTTCCTTTTTGTTTTTAAGGTCACTGAAGATTTCTCTGTTAAGCCAAGCTGGTCGCCTGCCATATTTGCTATTCTTACTGCACATCAGGATGGTTTGTTCTTGCACCCTCAATAAAGCTTCTTTAAAATATAGCCAGTTGTCCTGGACTCCTTTCCCCCTCATATTAACCTCCCAGGGGATCCTGCCCATCAGTTCCCTGAGGGAGTCAAAGTCTGCTTTTCTGAAGTCCAGGGTCCATATCCTGGTGCTCTCCTTTCTTCCTTTTGTCAGGATCCTGAGCTTGATCATCTCATGGTCACTGCTGCCCAGGTTGCCACCCACTTGTACTTCCCTTACCAATTCTTCCCTGTTTGTGAGCAGCACGTCAAGAGGAGCATGGCCCCTAGTTGGTTCCTCCAGCACTTGCACCAGGAAGTTGTCCCCAACACACTCCAAAAATTTCCTGGATTGTGTGTGCACTGCTGTATTGCTCTCCCAGAAGATGTCAGGGTGATTGAAGTCCCCCATGAGAGCCAGGGCCTGTGATCTGGAAACTTCTGTTAGTTGTCCGAAGAAAGCCTCATCTACCTCATCCTCCTGGCCTAGTGGTCTATAGCAGGTGCCCACCACGACATCACCCTTGTTGCTCTCGCCTCTAAACTTAACCCAAAGATCTCAATGGGCTTTTCTCCAGTTTCATATTGTAGCTCTGAGCAATCATACTGCTCCCTTATATACAGTGCAACTCCTCCACCTTTTCTCCCCTGCCTGTCCTTCCTGAACAGTTTATACTCATCCATGACAGTGCACCAGTCATGTGAGTTACCCTACCGACTTCCAATTCTTCCTGCTTGTTTCCCAGGCTTCTTGCGTTCATGTGCAGGCACCTAAGATAACTAGCCGATTGCCCTGCTTTCTCAGTATGAGCCAAGGAGGATTCCCTTGTTGCACCCTCCTCCTTGTGTTTCCTCCCAGTATCCCACGTCCCCACTTACCTCCGGGCTTAGGTCACCATCCCCCGGCGAACCTAGTTTAAAGCCC